GCTTGTTATCTCATCCAATGTTATCTCATCCAATGCTCAACTTTGACATCAATTAAATGCTGCACACTGGTTTGTTCATCCTCCAGTTCCTTCACTTTCTTCTTCAGATCCTCAGTGTTGCCCACCGGAGAAAATCAAATATCCAAGGTGTCCCCCAACCACATTTACCCTATAATCCGAAATCTTTTCAGTAAAAGAGTAATGCCGCCAACTAAAACGAATAATAGAAGAGATACGTATGCAGCAAAATAATGATGCTAGCATATTAAATTTGTTTCCCACTGCCTTTGAGATAGAGACAGATATTTGTTTAAGTGAGCTCTCTTTCTTCCTTTTGATTTGAAAGTCAATAAGAGGAATTGAAGAGAATGAATAGAGAAGTTTACACCAACTGAAAGTGAGAACAAAGGGGGGAAAAAAAATAGAACAAAAGAAGAGTCTACTTAGCAAACAGAGGACTTGTAGAAACAATAAAACGAGTGCCACACACACTGTTAGTTTAAATACTATATCAATTCTTAATATAATAGCTAGTTAATTAATTTAAATAAATTAAAAAAATTTGTTAAGTTAATTATTTGTAATAAAAATGTTATCTTTTTTAGAATTTTTTTAGTAATCATGTATGTTAGTTAAAACTACCATTTAAAACAACTTTTAATATCCCTAATTATTACAAAATTATTTTAAAAATAAAGAAATATGAAAAACAAAATAAATAAATAAATTAGGGCAAAGCATGGGAGGTAGGAGGCAGTATAACAAGAAGAGGCTGCTTCTTTTCCTTTTTTATGTTGGGCTGTAGGAAAGTCAAGAATATGTCATTGCATCAGTGAAGTATGGCCATAGAAGAGTTGAGCATAACAAAACAAGAACGCTTGAATAATTCATGAGACAATAGCAGAGCCTATCACTCATCGGCAACTAAGGCATAAAGATTAAGGCATACATATATCGAAACTAGAATGCTTGAAAAATGGAAACATGGAGGCACCAATGGCGTACGATCAAATCCGGTTATTTGGGATTGTGTTTTGTATGAATGTTTATGTAGGCCTCGGAAAAGAAGTCTTCGAACCTAATGAGGCGAATCAAAGTCCAGAAACTCGTCCTAAACATCTCTGCTTGTGAAAGTAGGCGGTGATCCTCTCACTAGCTGTACTAAGGTTGGCTCTGTACCCACTTCCTATATTTCTGCATGGGTTTAGATGACATATTGGATTTCCAGAAACTAAAATGCTTTGGCGAAGCATGTGTATCACATATAATATTGCTTTATGTCAAAGTCTTTCTGGGAGTTCATGTGTCTGCTAGTTCTTATACATGATAACTCAGTCAACGAAAGCATTACATCGATTTTGAATGTAGCAACCCAGAAGGAAATTATTGTGCAATGGTACAAGATTACTATTCCTCCGGTCCTTAATATAGGACCTAATTATTGAGTTGGTTTTGGTCCTAAATATAAAACCCATTTTTCATATTTATCAATTTTCTCTAAATTACCCTTATGATACTCTCTCAACTATAATCAAGTAGGAGAGAGTGGGTATTAAAAAAGATGATTATGGTGTTTTAGAAAAAATATGTCATATTTTTTATAATTAACTAACTTACCTAACTTCCTTAATCTGTCATATTTTTTATAATTAACTAACTTACCTAACTTCCTTAATCTAATCAAATTAGTTAAATGGGTCTTATATTAAGGACCGGAGGAGTATTATATAATCAACTGTAAAATCCATCTCCCTATTTATTTTTCTACTCAGTCCTCCTCTCATAGGTGAGGTGTTTCTCAATTTTGGCTCTGCAAATAAACCTATTTATTGGATATCTGTTTTTCTTGTACACATTTTATGGAAACTCGTAGGATAAGTAACTCACTGTGTTCTTCTCTGTTTCTCCATCCAGAAATAGAGCATTTTGATTACTGAGAATTCATTTTTTTTAAATATGTTTTTCCTTGATCTCTCTTGTAGAGTATCAAACTTCATATCCAGCCAACCACCATAAACGTCTCCTGCCACGTGCTTTCAAACCGGACATTTATTCCGATAGGAAATATCATAAAAATGTTTCAAAGTGAAACTAAATTAAATTGAGCAATTTTCGCTTAAGGATAAAAGATTAAAGCCGTTCGTTATTTGTACCTTAGTGCTTCCACCTCCAAATGAAATCATAGTAAGGAAGCTTAACTAGAACTTCAGAATCTTTTTTTTTTTTTTTTTGGGACCAAAAGTAGAACTTTAGAATCACAACACACCAATTTAAGAGTCTTTATACATTAGATTAGTACACAGTAAAGCAAACCGTGCCTTAAGGTAAAGTTTTGACCAGAATCAAGTCATTCATAACCCAATTTATTGGGAGGATTATTGTTTATGATAAAAACAGAATCTCGTTTATCAAATACTACCTGTAGTCTTAGTTATAAGACCCAGTTGACTAATTTGAGGAGATTAAGAAAAGAAGTTTAAGTTAGTTATTTGTAATAAATAGGTATTGTCTTTCCTAAAATATCCTTACTAATTAATAATATTGGCTAGAACTGCAATTATTAGAAGGACTACCTTGGAAAAAATACATAAATATGAGACAAAGTGGATTAGGATTTTATATTTAGGACCAAAATAAAAGTCAAATAGGATTTTATATTAAGGACCGGAGGTAGTAACTACTAAAATATATAATTTGAAAATTGAACCAAAAAAATCATTGCACTAGCGTCTGTCTACATTCTTCATCAAGTGTCAACATCATCGCCAACAGCACCTACATTAATCAAGCACGGAAAAGCAGAAGGCTATTAAGATTATGTTTAAATTCTACGTGTGTACATATATATCCATGTCATTAGATAGAGTAGCATACTCAATTTGAAGCAAGGAAAAGATATCTCCCCTGTTTCCCACCTTAATATATGAAGCTGTTTTGTTGGTATTATAGTAACTACAACTGGAAAATAAATATTGAAATAAATTCCAATGAGCAACTCTATTTTTAAGGGATGAAGCACAAACAAACATTGCAAAAAGATAAGAACAATTTAAAGAGAAGAGAAGTTGGCGTATATCATAGTAAGTTGCTACTAGAGGAAAACAGAGAGACAGTAAATAAAAGATACAAACAGTTTCAGAAAAGAGAAAATTCTTTAGCAACAAAATCCTAAAGCTAACAAACCTGAACATCATAAGATGGATGATGGGTTTATCTTTCTACATATTAACACCATCTTGCCATACCTAGATTATAAACAAGATCTTATAATTAGGATCGGAGGTAGTATTAGTTAGAGCCTAGGAAAAGAAAAGGAAATTTTGAAGACAGACGACGTTGGCATGGGCGCGCGATATAATCAATTTTTCTATTTCCCTCGTCATTAAATATACATTTTTCTAAACAGTATTTGTTTTCTTTTTCTTTTTTTTGGGGGGGGGGGTTTATACCGTACCTAAGGTCTCGTTCATCCTCCCATTCCACATCATGTTCTTCTACTTTCATTTTAAACAACCCTGTTGTTTTGAAGAGTCTTGGACAAAACATTTTCATTTCAGGACATCCAGTTATTTTTATCTTCTCTAATTCTGAGAATTTGAATGTGTGATTTTGTGAAGAAAACATCTTAAAGTTTGGCATATCAGTAAGTTTGATCCTTCGTAATTGGTTGCATGTGATTCCACCTTCTACATTTGCATTAGTCTCATTCAATACAATTGTCTCCGTCTTTTAGCAATTGTTTATCTCCCAACTATTTAAGACTCATCAAGCTTTTCGCAGTTAAACTTGTCATTAATTAAATGGGTGAGTTGATGACAATGAAGAGTTAAAAAGAAAAATGATGCAGTATTTGGTGGCTTCTTGTATCATTGACTTTTGTCTTTTAGTTAGACGTAAGGTAAAGGCATTTTTTGAAGATTAAATTTGTTTAAGCTGCAGCACTTAGTGCTCTGCTACTTTTTTACAAAAAAAAAATGATTAATACTCTTTCAGTTCTCAATGTAATGTAAGACCTAATTATTAAGTTAATTTTAGTTTTAAATGTAAGATCTATTTCCCATATTTATCAGTTTTTTCTAAATTACCTTTGTTGATACTTCCTTAACTATAATCAAATAAGAGAGCAATGGAGAATATTAAGAAAGATGATTATGATGTTTTAGAAAAAATATGTCATATTTCTTATAATTAACTAACTTATTCATTTCTTAATATAATCAAATTAATTAAATAGGTTTTATATTAAGAACTGGAAGAGTACAATTTTTAAACATTCAAATTTGTTTTCATTTTGATTTTAATCCCTTGAGTTTCAAGTCAGAGGTTTTGGTCCCTCCATTTTCTTCTCATTTAAAACAATGATACTTATGATTCAAAAAAACTTGAACTATTTTGTCCTTCAGCTATTGTTTGAAATTTAAGATATCAAAATCAAAATGAGGGCAAACTTGAAGGATCAATGATTTTTTTTGAAACACAACAAAAATGATAAAATTAATAATAAAAGGTTACAAAGTAAAGTAACTAAGATATCCTACATTAAAAGAGTTAAGCCTAAAAAAGAAATATTTAGAAATAACATCAACATCGTAAGAGCTAAAATTATAGAGAAGCGCAAGGATCTCTTGCCAAGTAATAGAAGAAGAAGAAGAAGAGTTGTCCCTGAAAGCTGAATGGACTGCTTCTGCACACAATGTATAAATAATGGAAGTTTTGGTAATTCCGTCCAATAGACTGTAATGATCTCAATTCCAAAATACCTCAACACAGTGGAATCATCAGCATATATTTAATATTCAACCCAGTTATAACTATAGGCATATAAGAATACATTCAAATAGTATTGTAAACAACTGATAGAAACAGAGGAAAGATACAGAGGGGAGGGGAAGATACGAAAGCCACAGAGAGAGGATTCCCAAGAGCGGGACCAAAAAGAGAAGATCATCCAAAATCATCCAAAATCATCCACACCCTTCTCACTAACCTTCCTCCGCATATATAGCGTTGCTTTCATATTGTTGAGATTCCATTCGGTTATTGCTAACAGCATCATGCAAAGGCACAATACTTGTTGGGTGATCATAAGCCACGTGTCCTCTTTGGGTCCCATTAATGTTTGGCAGAATCATGACATTACTCTCCCCATAGAGATTGACCTTGTCCTCAAGGTCAAAGAGAGGGCAAGTGCAATTAGAGAGTTCAATCGGCATAGAGAGAGTCTCATTAACTTTCTGCTGTACATTAAGAACCATCACTGAACCAATCCCCAGACAGGTGCAAATACCAAAAGCCGAGCATTCTGTACTAGAGAAAACTTGCACCTGCTTTGCCAATCATAAGAGTTGAGAACCAGGATAGGTTGCAGTCTAATTTTCATGCTCCTAAGCAAATCATCCAACAAGTATAGACCAGTAGGAAAATGAGTCCAATATCACTGTGATAAAACTCCACCAGTGACAAATGGAAAAGATACTCCACTACACAAAGGCTATTATGCACATCTTTCTTGTTGAACACGTGTTCTATATTCATAGCAAGCACAAAAGTTGTAGAAGTCCAAACTAGGCCTCCGAAGATATTCATCAGACTCATGTTGGCTATTAATTCCCACAAGCCATGACAAGAAAATATCATGCTAGCACGAGGACAATAGTCTGACACAACCATAAAAATTGAGCCCTTTGTGCAATTATGTCTTGCAATCCTAGTGCCACCTCTAGCATATGCAATGATTAACTCAATCCAAAATCTGCCATCCAGTACAGTCATGTCATCAAATATTTTTGGCCCCCCTTTAAGACATGAAACAATTATAACGCAAACACTACACAAGACAGATGCAAGACCACTGAAGAATGGCATTGAAGCAAGAGTATGTGGCCAACAATTATGGTGGTACATGGCAAAGAGTGGAACAATGACATAAGAACTATGTTCATAGTCCAAACAAACGTGTAATATATGGTAAGATCCAATGGTTATCAAATCAAGGAGTTGAAAGAACCTTAATGCAGAGGAATAAAGCCTATGCGCTGCAAGGTGTCCAAATAATATTAATGTAAGTCCATATTGCTCAACTAGTATAAGCCACCGAACATTTTGTAACTTCCTTGCCCCTGCTAAAATGCTTATTAGTAAATCATGATTCGTTTTAGCCGCATCCATATTGTTCAGGTGGGTATGCAATGTCAACTTCACACAATTCTCATTATTCATGAACACCTTTAGCCCCATCAAAGCATTATGGAAAATCAAAGCTATGAACATTAGTGTACTTGCAGCACGAATTGATATAGGCAACCAAGGGAAGTCATAAATACCAGGATAAAAAATATAAACGAGATCCAATTCAACAACCCATTGTTGATTGAGTAATTTAATTCCAAAATAAGAGAATGAACAGAAATCCATTGCTGCAAAGTTTTTTGAATGTCTTTCAATATTAGTGTCCCATATACACATTGTAATCATGTAGAATGCTTCGAACCCAATTTCAACATGAAGCAGTACACGTGGAAGGCATTGATTATCCATATACCTGCAATCTCTTGGTATTCTCATCTTAAATTTCTGAGCAGCAACTGCCCCTTCTACCTGTTGTCGATATTTCTGGATTGCGTTACAAATAAGAGGTAGAAATTTTACATCAGATGACTCAAACTTATAATCTTTATCACATAGAAGGAGTCTGCTAAAGCCATTAACAGTCCAAGTCAAATAAGAGATGGTAGGACTAAGAGGCATTGAAATTCCCAAAATATTACCCATTGTTCTCATATCCACCACATGTAATAGATATGCGAAAGAAGCTATATAAATTTGCCAAACAGATTTAGATTGGGTATTTGCAAAGTAAGTAGTCCTGTAACCTGTCAGCTGTTCATTCTTGGCAAATTTACGCAACCCATATGGAGATTCCATTGCTGAGCCAGGATCAAATACCCATTGAACAATCAATCCCCGATTTGTGCCCTCAATCCCATCAGTCTTCGGTAAAAAGCAAAGGAGAAAATCAATGGACCCAATTGTCGTTGCCAGAGGAACAGAACAATAATAAGGCAACAGAAATTCATTGTAGTTTTGGCTATCAGCTAACTCCTGTCTCTCACTGAAAATGGGGATGGATGGCCTGGGGTAGCTGAAGGCGAATTGCATAGACTGAATTTGGGCTGTAAATAGTTGGGGCGTAAAGCCGCGCATTGCCTGGAAAGAATAAAATGCAGGAATCGGAAGAACCTCTTCATTCTCTCTAGATACTTCCTGGATTGGAGCGACCCTGTGGGTTGCATCGAAGCTCACAACATCAGAGTTGTTAGAGTTAGTAATGGTATGATCATCGGTATCCACCTCGTCATCGTTTATCCCATCACTCTGTTCCAGAATAGGTTGATAGTCCGTTGACCATAGAACTTCAATCTTATCGTGACACAAGGAAGACTGATGAATATCAAATGTGTAGGAGGGACGACCCTGCGACGAGTTCATTTTTGGCTGTAAAAAAGATTCATTAGTTGACAGCGAGTGCACTATAGGGCTTGGACTCTGAGAGGGTGGGGGATCATTGATTAATCCCCTACGTTTCAACATCGCTTCAATTCCGTCCAAGCAAGAGAAATCCTTCATCGCAACACTGGTAGCCTCATTCTGAGTGATAGAATTATCCTCATCAGATTCGATGTTAGCGTTGAATTTAGAATTCAGCAATTCCAGTTTTAAAATAATATGATCCATTCTTGTAATCATATCAGAAGCACAATGTTCTATCTTAGTAGCAAACTGCTTGATCCCTGCTTCACACTCATCTAATTCGGGTTCATCGTCAACCATCATGGAAGGGGTTACTCTCAATGAAAGCACCATTTGTAATGATCTCAATTCCAAAATACCTCAACACAATGGAATCATCAGCATATATTTAATATTCAACCCAGTTATAACTATAGGCATATGAGAATACATTCAAATAGTATTGTAAACAACTGATAGAAACAGAGGAAAGATACAGAGGGGAGGGGAAGATACGAAAGCCACAGAGAGAGGATTCCCAAGAGCGGGACCAAAAAGAGAAGATCATCCAAAATCACCCACACCCTTCTCACTAACCCTCCTCCGCATATATAGCGTTGCTTTCATATTGTTGAGATTCCATTCGGTTATTGCTAACAGCATCATGCAAAGGCACAATACTTGTTGGGTGATCATAAGCCACGTGTCCTCTTTGGGTCCCACTAATGTTTGGCAGAATCATGACACAGACCAAAAGATTTTATCCAGCAGACTGAGGCTCTAAGGCATTTGGAATGAAAAACTGGACCTGCTAATGAATTGCTTCTCTAAATAAATTCTTTCAAACATGCAGCCTGATGATAAATCATTCCATGGCGAAAATGATGTTGGAGTTTTCTATATTTGAAGAGAATTATGTTCAACCATTACGATGCAAGTGAAAATACTAGAGAATTTGAATTTTATTTTGAGGATAATGCTGAGTGCTGTGGTAATTCAGAAAAGCTAACTTGGAAAGGGAACAAATTTGCTGGACATCATAAAGTACTGAGAAGAGTGTGGCCACTTTGCCTTGATGAAGAATATCATTCCAAGTCTTCAAGATAATATCGAGCAAACATATAATTTGATAAGCAACATCCTGTAATTGATCTTGACTCAATTGTGCCAAGGTAATTTTTAGCCAAGAAGCAAATTTCTCAGAAGAGTTGAAAGAAATTCTGATGGATAAACTTCCAAACCAAAGAGCCCAAGTAAAAGAACAATTAAAAAAAAGATGTAAAAGATTCTCCTCTTCTTCACAGCCAAATACACAGAGGCTTGAGATGTTAAGATGATGCTGCCTTAGAATATCAACAGGGGGTAAGGCCTTATGCAGCAATTTCCAAGTGAATAACAATTGTTTGAGAGGAAATTTCAACCTCCAAAGTAGTAGCCAGAAATCATCAACAGTTGGAGCCAGATTGTAAGAATCATCTTGCCAAAGTAAATAAGTTCCATCTCGAACCTAGTAGATACCCTTGTTATTGCCAGACCAGATAATTTGATCAGGAAGATTTAAGGGGGAAATAGACTGAGCAAGAATAGAACGAGCTATATCTGATGGATAAATCTTAAAAATGAGGGAGGAATTCCATGAAACTGGATTCCACAAAGGGGGAGTATGCAATAACAGATCCTATACAAGCTTAATATTCAAATATTGCATCAGATCCTGCTGAATAGGCCACCATTAATTGGGATGCTCGTCCTATTGCCAATTTTCCATTTTAATTTCCCAGCTATAATATCAGCATATTCTGCAATGCCCTTCAATATCTAGGATGAGTTATATGGAAGTTTAATAATTGACTGGCTATCTAAATTAAAGTATTTGACTTCTAAGACTATGGCCAGCAAAGAAGAATCTTGGGAAGAGATTACCCGCCAGATTTACTTAGCAAGAAAGGCTCTGTTCACAATCTTAGCTGGTCTTAACGCCAAATCACCCTTAGCCACAGGCTGGAAAAGTTTATTCCTACCCCAAAGATGCATCCTTTTCTTGGTATCCGCCGAATCCCAGAAAAAAATTAGCAGATAATGCATCTACCTTGTCACAAATTGAATGGGGAATTTTGATGCAAGAAAGGATAAGTATGTTATCACAGATTATATTAATCATTACAAAAATATAATGAGATAGCGTTTGGTACGGCTTATTATTTCTTCTTCTTCTTTTTTTTTTAATAAAAAACGTGTTTCGTGAGGAGGTAGAGACGTCCTAGATAATTATTTTTTTAAGTAAAACATGGAGGCAGTATTCGGTGAACCAGACGCAACCTCCTTGATAATAACTTCTTTTTTAAAAAAATAAAACATTGATTGAGGCACCGGAGTTCAGATTATATTTTACTTAACATGTTTTATAATTTATCGAGTTCATGTTTCTGCTATTTCCTAATATAACTCATTAAATGAAAGCATTACATCCCGTTTTAAATGAAGGAAGTTATTGTACAGTGGTGCAAGATTAATACTGTTAAATAATCACTATGTCGAATCCCTCTCCTTGTTTATTTTTCAATTCAGCACCCTCACCTCGTACATAAAGTGTTTCTCAGTTTTGATTATTCCTCAATTTGGTTCTTTACATAAACCTATTTATGATCGAACATATCTTTTTTCAGATGCACCATATGTGAGGGACCATTATTTATGATAGTTTTATTTGGGGTGGACTTGATTGAAAATATCCATATCTTGAAAATATAATTGAGAAGACAATGTTGTAAGTGACAAAATTGACAATTTCCTTATTTGTGAAGTACCAAGTACAATTTGGAAGGCAGTTTTGAAAAAGACTCAATTGAGAAATGCCTCATTTGCTCCGTAGTCACTCATTTTTCCATTCAGAAACAGAGCATTTTGATCACTGAGAATTCATTTTGTGAATGTTGCTCCTAAGCAAGTGAAAAGCTGTTTGTGTGTGTGTGTGTTTTCTTCTCGCTCTGTTTTATAAAGTATTTAATTTCATAGCTACGCTGAATTTGTCAGGTGGGGGTCTAAATCATACAGATTCTAAAGCTGTTACCACAAAACTTTATAATTCCAGCTTCCAGAAGTTCTTGAACTCTCATTATCTGTTTAGTCCTGGCAATCTTGCCGCGATCAGAGCCCACCTGAATTGAATCCACATGTATATGATATCATCATCTCTGATCCGCTTAATGTAATTAAATGACATTATTGTTAATGTGGCACACATATAGGCCAGAGCAGATGTTTCCAATGTATCCTATGTATTTGATGATTATAATGTTGTCGCAGTACTGTACCCTGAGATTCTATGGACACAAACCTTGGTATCGATTGCTTCTGGGATTCCTTGTGTACACTACGTATTTACATTACATGATCATCAGAACTATTATTCATAGTACGTACCTGAATTAACATGGCAAACTGTGTTGTGATTAGTACTATTTCAAACCCCCCCCCCCAAAAAAAAAAAAAAACACGCGCTCGCGCACACATCAATACTCGGTTTTAACTTCGACACACAAAATATTTGTATGTGTTTTAGTGACTTGTTTGTCATGCCTAATATATGGGTTGGGATTTTGGACTTTTGTTTGAGGGGCCCGACCTAGGGGTGGGGGGAAGAGCAGAAGTTTGTAAATCCATTGGATAGATTTCTCCCACCACCACCCAAAGTTAGATGCTCTGAATGCCTACAAGTAAATTTCTTTAGATTAATTTTGTAATAATCAGTAAATTATTCTCGATAAATTTTAGATATGTGCTAATTTATTGAATTGAATTGGTGTGCTTTGCTCCCTCCCCCTAAAAGAAAAACAACTATTGTGTGCTTGTGTAGTTTGATGTCCTTCTCCCTTTTTGCTTTGAGCCACACTAGAGCCCCGCTTTTAATTTGCTATGGCTCTTTAAATTCTTAAGCTTCTTATCCATTAATTTTATTGTTTTCATATGTTAGTTAGTGAATATGATTAAACCAATTTGGCGATGCTTTTGGAGAGTTGTAATGTAATATTACACTCTAATCTCTTATGACTTCCAGTCGTGCTTAGTGATTGTGCATATATGTAATGTAAACAACACGTACATACATAATTCTAAGGTCTTGTAGAAGCACTTGAATATAGTGATCTAAGTTTAGAATTTTATCATTGAAATTTTTGATTTAGTGTTTTGGTGTGAGAATCTATCCATCCAAAATGAAATTAAGGTGTAAAAGTGCGGAGACGACTCATCTTGTGGGGTATTATTCGATGAATTCGGCAGCTGCTCTTGTCTAATTACTAAGTGGTGATATAAGGTTTGATTTATTAACATGTTTCCTTTAATATGAATTCAAGACTTATCATTTCAGATATTACTAATTCTGTGATTAAATCATCGAATTATGAAGAAAAGTTATAATTTGCCAATACTTCTTTGTGTCAAGTTTTTTTACCACTAAACATCTCTTTTTTATTGAAAGCGTTACATCCCGTTTTAAATGAAGCAACCCCGAAGGAAGTTATTGTGCAGTGGTACAAGATTAATACTGTTATATAATCACTGTGTCAAATCCATCTCCTTGTTTATTTTTCAATTCAGCACCCTCACCTCGTGCATGAAGTGTTTCTCAGTTATGATCATTTCTGAATTGGTTCTTTACATAAACCTATTTATTATTGAACATCTCTTTTTTCTATCAAATTCAGATGTACTCATATGTGAGGGACCATTATTTATGATAGTTTTACTTGGG